TATTTTATGATACCTTGTTTTATCTTCAAAAAATGTTTTAGACTGTGTGTGTGTGTGAAAGGGGGGGGGGTGCATACTTTTGCTCGTATGGGATCGTATTGTACAATGTAAATTTATATATTGTCTACCGTAACTGCTGACAGTGAAACCTGTCTCCACCATCCATATTGCTTTTGCACCCAGTCATTTTAGATTTATTGGAATGTGTGCCTTATGTTGTTACAGTAGAAGTAGTAGTAGTGGTAGTGGATGTTGTTGTTGTGGTTGTAGGAGTAGAAGGAGGATGGGAGAAGGGGAAGCACTGTTTAGTCACTACAATAAATGATAGTGTTTGTACTTCCTAGGTCTACATAAAACGTCTTTGGATGATTGTGCAAGTGGTCAATAGGACCCGTATATACCAGAAAATTTCAATTGTAGTGGGATACAAAGATATGATTTTATGCTCTGCCTATTGTTTTGTAGCTTTTAAAATCACTTCAAGTGTTGCATTTTAAGCTATTACTGCTGTGTCTTTCTCTTTCATTTTGAGAAAGCATGTGTGAACTGGCTTCAGTGGTGTAGAGGTCTGGCACTCCACCATTGTAGGCGGGAGATGTAACTTCAGTTCCTACGTGGGGAGAAAATTTTATCAAGTAGCTCGGTTTGTTTGCTGGGAGGTTGTACATTTCTAAGCTTGGGTTGGTCCTGACAGGCAGCTTGCCTGCTAAATGATTTGAATTATGTAGATGGGGCATAAAATATTTACAAACACATAATTTTTAAGTCCACCTGCTAAATTTTTTAAATAGTGTTGACGGAGGCGTAATACTTCTACATATATGCGATGAATGTGTGATTCTGTAATTTTCCTAATTTCATACCAAAAGGTAAATATCGTTGATGGTTTTGCAGGGTAGATGTTACTTTGTAGAGATCTATACTCTATACATACATTTATTCTCATAATACAGCCAGTCTCTGTGCTGTAGCTGGTAGGCATTTTGTGCCTCACGAAGGAGACCCAGGTTTGAGTCCAGAGTAGGGAAAATTTTAATTGAGCATTTTGGTTTTTTTTGCTTGGATGTTGTATCCTTCTCAGCCAGGGTAGGCCCTGACACACAGGAGGTAGCCGGCCTTTTGAATGATCTATAAATTGTGTTGATGTTGGTGGTGAAGAAAAAACACAGACGTACCTTTGAAAATTTTGTATGTATTATTATGAATCTGTTTTATTTATGCATCTTTTCAAAATACAGTGCCTTAATTGTGATCTCTTGTTTGTTGTTGGGTTTTTTTTTCTGAAAATAATTATTATACTTATACTTATAATTATATTAAATGGTGAAAGTGCCTGATCCCAAGTTGGTTCTAAGAGCTGTACTGTGTACAATGCAGATTCATCTCTCAACAACAAACCAAAGGACAGAAAGTGCACATTGTGTGACCATTAAAACAACAACAACACACACACACACACACCTGGCTA